ATTTCCAACCTATTCTAATGCAACTGTGTTGATTTCGTTGAAATACGTGCAGAATTGAAAACTTGGGATATAATGGGTTAAACGGTAGATGACCTATTTAGCTTTCTTCATATGTCAGAGAAATGTTGTAAGAAGGTAAAATAATATTTCAAACGCCAGGCCTTGAAGTCTTTTGGAGCAGAGAAGCCAATAAACAAAGAGACTATTATTATGTCGTTCATGGTTTTTCAATATTTTCATCAGACACCATACCAAAACCTTCTGTTCATGCAACCCAGGGTGTCTATGAATGATAGGTCGCTGGTATTAATGAATTCCTTTCTTGGTGCACAGACCACAAGGGTATGTGAAGGAAAACTAGACAAACGACCCGGATGTCATGCCAGTCTCTATTCACCAAACCGAGTGGTGTCTGTTTCCAGACGCGGAGATACCGCACAAAGCCAAGCCATGGCCGTTCTTTCTCAGGGCTTGCTGCATGCTTTCAACAACTTCCCTCCAGGAATATTAAGTGTCTCTCTCCTCTATCCTTTCTTTCCCTTCATGGTAACTTTAGAGTTACCACAAAGGAGAAATTCCAGACCTCACAGGGCCTGTCCCTGGAATGTGATAATCTCCCACCCACCCCCAGCCCCCAGCAGAGCAGCTCCCAAGGCCTACACCCTGGTGAAAAGCCCTTTTATAGGAGCTGGGTGTTGTTAGAAATGGTTACCCTACCAAAATACCATTCATGGCTGCCCTCACGTCTTAACAATGCCTTGGTTTTCTTAATTCCAATGCTGTCTCCCATGGGCTGTTGCCTTTTCAGAGTTGAAACAAAGGGGGCTGCCGGGTGATAAGCCAGGGCCCAGCAGCTGGCCCAGGCTGGGCCTGTCGGCAGGATGAGGGCTGGAATCAAATGTGTGATTCATAGCTGGGAGGAGGCTGCCAACTCCAGCTGCAGGGCGCAGTCTGTCCTGGCCAAGAAGGCGCTCTGCACTGTGCCTGTGTGTGTGCTCTCCGCTGGGAGCAGAGCTCCCACCCCGCCTCCCTCCCCAGCTCTTGTCTCCACAGGGAACCGTTCTGTTCCACTGGCCCACACCCAGCTAGCTCCTTCATTCTATCCATGTTCAATCAGGTACTGGAAACAGTACATGACTCATGCCAGGCTCAGCCAAGACCAACAGCACTAGGCTTTCTTTTGTTTAAGAGTTAACTGCAAGTTCCATAAATGATTTCAGTCAGTGGAGTCTTTGTGGCTTCCATGGCTGGTCTCTAAAGTCATGGAAAGAGATGGCCACGTTGGAGCCATTGAAAAGCCAGGACACAGTCAGTCACAAGACCTCATTCTTCCTTAAACCCTACCCTGGAAGATCATCATGAAGTGTTTTCCTCTGAGCATTGGCCTTGGTCATGAGGCTGCTGTGAAAGATGGACTAGGTTTCTTAAAGAAGAGTTAAGTGCAAGGCTGACAGTGTCACTCCAGGCACTAGTAAGGGCCTACTGACGGATTTTACCATTGAATTTAGGGACCTGCTGCCAATGGATGCCAGCTTCCATTTGGGGCAAACCTTAGGATTTCCATTTGAGAAGAAAAACAGTCCTTATCTCCCAGTAGAAATACAATGGTTGGGGGTGGGGTTGTGGCTCAACAGTAGAGCGCTCGTCTCCTACATGAGAGACCCTGGGTTCAATCCCCAGCACCATATAAAAATAAATAATTGAAATACAGGTATTGTGTCCAACTACAACTAAAAAATAAATGTTTTTTAAAAAATACAATGGTTATCTTAAGGCATAAGTGGAGATGCAATACCAGTAAAGGATAGTTAAGATTAGTGACTCTCCAAGCAGCTAAGGATGCTTTAACACCTGGGAAGGATGGTGAAATCTTGTCATTCTCTGACTTAAGGGAGAGATCAAGTCACTCTCTTAATACCATTCCCATTGAGGTCCTGCTAATTGAGAGAACAAAGATCTCTTACATGTCTACTGTACTAACTTCCATATAAGAAGGAAAGAGGAAATACTCAGTATCTGGTGGGAGCGGGGATTAGTCCAGGGTCCCCTGCAAACACTAAAATCCTTGGATGTTCAAGTGCCTTACATATAACCTAAGCACATCCCTCTGTATGCTTTAGTCACCTCTCCATTTCTTATAATGCCTAATACAACCTAAATGCTCTGTTGATAGTTGTTGCACTGTATTGTTTAGGAAATACAAGGGGGAAAAAGTCCATACATGTTCAGTGATAGACACAATTTTTCCCCCTCAGATATTTTAAATTCCTGGTTGGTTGGATCCCAGGATGCAGAGGGCCATCTGTACTGTGTTGCTCATTTGTGGAAACAAAACATGGAAGGATACAGCAGGGGCTGAGGGTAAACTCAGAGGTAGGGGGTTTGCCCAGCACAAGTGAGGCCTTGGATTTGAATTTTTTTTAAATTTTTTTTTATTAGTTGTTGATGGATCTTTATTTATTTATTTACATGTGGTGCCGAGAATCAAACTCAGTGCCTCACACATGCTAGGTAGGCAAGTATCTACCACTGAGCCACAACCCCAGCCCCCCTGGGTTTGATCTTTAAACACACACACACACACACAGATAAGGTTGACACTAGTGAGTTTGCCTACTATAGGTGGTGGGAAGGGAGGGTAAAAAAGGAAGAGCAGGTGGAAGGCACAGGAGAATGATACTCCTCTGAGTTTTAGATCATCATGAAGTATTTTCCTCTGAGTTTTTAAATAGCTTCGACTTAGAGCCATGTTATGGTTCCCATATTCAAAATAAATAAAATCAAAATCTGAAAGGTAGGCAGAGAAACTTCTACTCTTTTTGGAAAACGGAAACTTGTCTATATTATCATGGAGGTAGGAAGGGTCGGGAAAAAAATTAAAAAAAAATAAAGGGCCCTTAAAATCTTCTAGCCTTTAAAGAATCTGCTACCAACTCTAAAATTGAACTCTACAATCTAAAAAAAGGGAAACAGGCATAGCTTCCTCATCTCTGGAGATCTTTGAGAAGAGAATAGACATTCGGGAGTCTGTATCATCCCAGTAAAGGGCAGGCAGACATGAATGGCCTTTCCAGGATGTGGGATGTCATCAAGGCTGGATCCAGGCTCTGAATATCAACACGTTTTTATCTTCAAATCTTATGTTCTCGTTTCCTGCCTTTTCTTTGCTCTTTAGTCATCCACTCAATTTCTTCAACCTGTCTCCATGCCTTACTGGAGGTAATAAGGCTGTAAGGCAGGAGTCAAAAAATACCCTGCAGTCTATGAGAGTGCATAAAAGTCCTGACAGTTTAGACAATCCAGTGTCCAGGACAGTGCTCTTTAAGGAAATAACTATAAACTCCCCTGGTAAAGGAGTTGGAAAGATTTGAATGCAGCATTTAGAATATATGATCAATATATATGTTCAAGTCTCCACTGAGATAGTCCAAGTGAGCCTGTTGGCATGCAGAAGAATCCTGAGTCAACTTGACTTTGCTACTCCACCCTGTAAAGTTGGAAATGGATGCAGTGAAGTCTTGGGAGGAAAGATCTAGATCAGAGAAGATGGAGTACCCTGGATCCAGTAAGGCTCCAAATTGGTCATTGACATTCTGATCCGGCCCGTTTCCCCTGATTGATCTTGTCATTTTGGGGTTACTCTGACTCTTTTCCTGGGCCCTAAATCCCAACAGGGTACCTCTTTAATTACTTTTCCAGGGTGCAAGTCTTCTCCCGGGACATCTCTTACACACAAGCTGCCCCTTTGCCCACATTAATTAGTACTAGAAAAGAGAAAGAGTAATTTGTCAGAACATTCACTCCATGACCCATGCTCCAAACATTTTATTCCTTTTTTTTTTTCTATTTTTAGCAATGACCTCAGCTGGGTTAAAATTTTGGTTTCTAATGAATCAATTCCATTCATATCATACTTTATTAAAAATAGCAAGTGAATTTACATTACAAATCTACTCCTTTTAGTAAGATTTAGTAAGCTTATCTTTAGCTCTTCAAAGATGCTTAGATATTCAGCAGAGTGGAGTGGGAAGGGCCTGCTTCACTTATTGGTTATGTACTTAAAGAGCAAATTTCGGAGAAGTCATTCAAGTAACTGTCTTTCTCCTTCACCACGTTTTGTGTACATGTGTGCATCACTAAAGAGTTTCCTCTAGTCCTAAGCACTTGAAAAACAGGGAGTGTTATATAAAGTGATAACTACATCTCCCCAGAGCCCAGTCTTTTCAGAGCTAAACCATGTGTTGTGATAAATACATATTCCCTGAAGAGCCTATCTTGCTTTTGGCACGGCTATCAACAGTTTAGATGGGAGGCATCTTAACTCCTACAGAAAAGAAGATTCTACATCTTGGCATGAAAATGGGAAAGGCCCATTAACAAAAGCCACATAGGTGAAAGGATGTGGGGGCAACTTGTGCCTCAGAGCAAAGAGAAGAAAAATTGGAGATTTAAATACCAGTAGTTAGGTTTAAAGCCAAGAAAAAGGGGAGATTAACTCACAGCAGAAATATTTTTTAAAAAACTCTTTTATTATATTCATTGGATTTTATTGTTGGTGGTGGTGGGTGCTGAAGTTTGAACCAAGGGCCTGTGCATGCTAAGCTCACATTCTAAACAAAGCCACACTCAACCTCAGCAAAAGTATTAAATAGCTGGATGCCATTTGACAGTTCCCCTGCAAGGGTTCCTGATTACTTCTGATCCTCAGTTCTACATGAAATTATTGCTTCTGGACTTGATCATTTTAGTGCTGGAGTTTTCTGTGAGATAAAGCTGTGCATCCCAGATGTATGAAGTTAACAAAAGACCAGTTTACTGTGAATGAAGCTATTCACCAAACCTGTTCTTTATAACTACATGACTTACTATTCATGGCAAAAGCCAACCCATGGGTACCAATAGGTGGCAATGACTCCAGAGAGTCACCTTGACAGACCTGGGAATAAACCCTACACACTTGGATTTTACCAATGGTGGATACAAGAAATTGCCCTGATTTAAAAAAAAAAAATGCTTTCTTCTTGCTTTTAAAAATTGTTTTTTGATTGATTTTCCAACGTCTTCAAACAAAGACTCATTGACAAATTTCCTTTAGAATCAAGTGCTGGGCAAAGGTTTGTTCCTCCTGATGAGCAGTTCCCTAAAATCACACAAAAGGAATTCTGTCACCCCTGTTTTCTTTTTCTAGGTTGGTGGGCAGCTCAGAAGTTAAGTTTAATTGCTCTCAGTCTTCTCAATCAGAATTTATGGCGATAGTTTCTTCTCTTAACCACCTTAATTTTTCGCTTCATTTTGGTTTTAAAACCATTTGTGCAACCTAATTTTGCCCCCAAAGTGGGTGGCATATTAAAGAGGTGCAATTAATTCAGGGATTAAAAAGATGCCTCCTGCGCCATGTGTTTCCAAATGGCACCACGTATACTCCTGGCGACATGTTTGTTTCCTCCCTCTCCATTGTTTGTTTGAAATGAGAAAGGACAAGAAAACAAAAGCAAATCGAGGGAGGAGGGTTTTGCCTAGAAAATTCCCAAGGAAAAACAACTGACAAAATAACATCCCCTGAAACAGATAGATCTTGCAGAGGATTATGATTTCCATGCTCAAAAGATTTTTTTTCCTTCTTGTATATAGCTGGGAGCTAACTTTAGCCAGCTCTTTTCCTCAAAAGCTCAGGCAATGATGAAAATTACAATTGTACCCCCAGGTGAGGTCTTACCCACTGATGCATGAAAATGTAGATGTGTTTATGTGTAACCAGATGCAGAAGATGGAGCTTGCAGAAGAGGTGACATTCATATGCAGGAAGAGACCTGAGAGAGTTCTCCATCCTGATTGCTAACCACACAGGACATCTATGCATTTGTTTTAAATTGTCCATAGGTCATTAACAAGGTCTTAGAAATTAATTAGTTCACTAGTTAGAACAAATTAGTTAGTTCACTTTTAGGTAAAAATACAAGGGTCTTGGGGCTGTTTCCTTCCAAATTAGTTATTTTTTTACTTTTTTTGTGTGACTAGTTTCGAAAAGGAAAGATCTGATGTCTCCTAATCCACTTGGAGCACTTTTACTTTTTTATTTTTATTTTTTTTTTGGATATCTGGAATTGAACTCAGATACTGAACCACATCCCCAGTTTTTAAAAAGTTCTTTTATTTAGAGATAGGGTCTCATTAAGTGCCTACAGCCTTGCTAAGTTGCTGAGGCTGGTGTTGAACTTGCAATCTTCCTGCCTAAGCCTCATGAGCAGCTAGGATTACAGGCATGATTTGGTGCATTTTTAAACGCATGGGCACAAACACTGACCTTGGTGGGTAGCAGGTGCCAAGAAACATTTATTCATTTTTTATGGTACTGATCATTTACCAGGGGTGCTCTACCACTGAGTTACACCCCTTTTTTATTTTTTTGCCCAGGCTGGTCTAGAGCTTGCCATCTTCCTGCCTCAGTTTCCCAAGTTGGTGGAATTACAGGTGTGAGCCTTCATCCCTGGCTCAAAGCATACATTAAATAATTTAAGAAAAGGAGACCAGAAGGAACTTAGAACAGCAAAGAAAATACTGGTCTGGGAATTGAAACTCCTGAGTTCCACTCTTGCACTGGCACAGTCGGAACAATGGGCTGTTTGTCACATAACACCCTAATCTTTCTCTACTTTCTCCCCGCCCAGGAAGCTGACCCTGCAAACAGCATATCCAAATGTCCTTGCTGTGTGGTGTCCCAATTGGTCTGAGCCTGGAGATGACAGAGGGGAAAGAGGGTTACGAAATACATAAATTCTTCCCTCTTCCACCTCTGGACCACAGTGCAAACTCCTCCTGCAGGTGGCGCCTGTTCTGTAGTAGTTCCAGTTCTTGCTTTTGCACCATCATCCTTTGTGTATGTCTGTGTGTGTGTGTGTGTGGTGTGCTGGGGATTGAACTCCAGGGCTTGTGCATGCAATGCAAACACTCTACCAACTAAGCTGTACCCCTAGCCCGCCCATCATCCTTTTTTGATTGTTCCTTAGCTTGTCTAGGACTTCCTAAGTGATTCCGTTAAAGATCTTTTCATCTGAACCATCTGGGGGTGAACTGTGTTTTCAGCCAGGCCTTTGAAGATCAGTTTTAGCAAACTGGAAATGTGTTTGAAGTAGTGGGTTGAACTCCAAAGGACTGAGATCACACCAGCCTTGTTTGGATTCTTTCTAGGAGGCTGCTAGGTGGGAGGATTAATTGGTATCAACACATTCAGGGCTCCATTGACTGCTGCCATTTCATGAGAAGTATAAGACCAAGCATTTTAAGAGAGCCCTGCTATGATTGTAGAGGTTTGGATTCAATGCTGTCAAGAGATCTTAGTGCATCTAGGCTCATGAGGATAAAACAGCCTTGGCTTGTGACCCAACCTAAAGTTTTGGTCCAATGCTAGTGTTGCTTTTTAAAACTTTTTTTTTTTTTATTGTTGTTTAAATTACAGTTTGACAAGAGGGTGAAGAGATTCCATAATGGGGTAGTCAGGCCAGCATCTTGGCTTCAGGTTGTTGGCAGAACTTAATTCCTTGCACTGATCTAGAAATTTACATGATTATAGGAGAAAATGGCAGGTGGGTGGGGGGTTGGCGAGGAGGGGAGGCTAGAATGGGCAATGATGTCCTTAGTCTTTCAAATTTATATATTATTTGTACATATATTTTACATCCAGGTATGACAGTCGTTTGTACCATTTCCCGGGGAGACATGGATGTTTCCAAGGCAAGGCAAGGGCACAGGGGAAGGTATAGAAGGGGGCAGTAAAAGCGCAAGGTGGGGGCTTTGCTCATAGAAGCTGCAGGAGCTTCAGTGATTGCAAGAGGGCTCCGGGCTCAGCGGACGCCAGGTACTGACAGCAAAGCCAGTCCTCCAGCTCCACCCCTCGCCTGCGATCCACCGCCTTCTCTGCAAACTTCATCATCATCAGGGCCCTCTTCATGTCGATCCAGTTATGCAGGGTGCTGCACAGCACCTCCTCAGAGGTGCCCGGTTGCTCCACTAGCTCCCGCCGGGGCCCCCACAGCAGGCACTGCAGCACCCTCTTGGCCTCACCTATGCGGATGCGCTTGATAGGGTCAGCCTCCAGCAGCAAGTGGGCCAGCTGCTGCAGGCCAGGCGAGTAGAGGGACAGGGTGGGTAGTGGAGGCAGGTCTTCCCTCCGATAGTCCTGTTCCCGCAGCTGGGTCCGCACCTCAAAGGGGTTGGGCTGGTGCAGCAGCTCATAGATGAGAATGCCTGTCTGGAACTCATCAAACTTGCTGTACTGGGAGGCAGACACGATCTCGGGGGCCAGCCGGGCCTGGCTCTTTTTCTGCTGCAGGTTGGTAGTGCTTCCTGGCTTCTGCTTGGCCTTCAGGAAGTTGCTAATGATGAGCCTGGGCAACTGCTTCTCACTAGGCACACCCTGACAGGTGGGAACAGTTGGGGGACTGGGAGTGACACTGGCTTGGGAGGCAGAAGGGCTAGGGGATGTGGTGGTGGGAGGGGCAGGGACATTAGGGGAGGGCCCGGGGGAGGCCTGGGGACTGCAGTGCACCAACAGCAGGTTCTCCAGGCACAGGTCCCGATGGATGATCCTGTGTTCCTTCAGGTGCTCCAGCCCGTTGCACAGCTGCAGAAGCAGGAAGCACACGCGCCGCTCATAAGCCTCAGGCTCAGCCCGATGGCTGGCAGCAGAGTCCCGCACAAAGTCAGAGGCCGTCTGGTGAGGCACCTCTCGGGTGATGACCACTACACAGTCCTGCTCCTGCGCAGGGGGCTGTAAAGGTGGAGCAGGCAGAGAGTCCTTGGGTGCGTCCGGAGAGGTGAGCATGCTGGAGGGCACTGAGGCCACAAAGTGGCCGCAATCCTGCTGGATGTTGAAGTGCACGGGCACAGAGGGGCTGCAGTATGAGGCTGTTTTGGGCTCAGGGGTTTTGCAGATCTGTGGGGAGAAGGAGAAGTGAGTTCAGGAGTGTGATCCATGGTTCTGTTCAACAGGAGTTAAGACATTTGGGTATCTACATGCAAAAAGCTAAAGTTAACCACTTAACCTCATACCATACATAAAATTGATTCAAAAGTGGATTTTATACACTTAAGGGTAAGAGCTAAAGATATATGAAAGAGAATCTTTAAGACCTTGGGTTGAATGCTGATTTCTTAGATACCACACCAAAAGCATGGTCCACAAAAAAATAATCCATAAACTTGACTTCATAATTCTAAACTTTTGTGCTTTTGAGATATAGCATTAAAAAAAAATGAGAGTACAAGCCTGTCATCCCAGTGACTCAGGAGGCTGAGGCAGGAGAATTACAAGTTCAAGGCCAGCCTTAGCAACTTAGTGAGGCCCTAAGCAATTTAGTGAGATGCTGTCTCAAATAAAACAAACAAAAGACTCTAACAAGTGTCTGAGGATGTGGAGAATGGGCCTACCCTTGGAGCAAAGTGTGCATCATTCACATATAGCAGCTCTGTTAAGGCTGACTTGCAGGTCATGCCACCTAGGAGGCAATGCATATTTACCTAGATCTAGAAACTAGGGCAACATAAGAGAATTTGGCCAAATCCTAAAGCTTGACCCCTGAGTTCCCCCAAAAAAGGAGAATTTCATAATTACTGGTGGGAATATAAAATAGTGCAGCCACTTTAGAACAAGGTTTTCCAACTTCTTAAAACTTCAACATAAAACAACCACATGACCCAGTGTAAGTGGGGTCCCTGCAGAGCAGCCAACAGTGTGGCATTGTGGAATGGTAGGAGGATATTGCCCTGGGGGCTGGATGCATCCTCCTAAAGCTAGATAGGGTCTGCACAGGACTCAGCCTCACTCAACAATCCTCTCACCTGACATGGCAGCTACCTGACAGCTGATGTGTTGTCTGTGGGGAATTTTAGGGGCAGATGCAGATGCAGGCCTTAAACCTTTGGGACTTGACCAAATTCTCTTGGGTTGACCTAGTTTTTAGATCCAGGTAAATATGCAATGCCTAGCTGACCTGACCTGTGGGTCCAGATCTAGTGGAGCTGCTAGGTGGAAGCCTCAGGCTTTTCCTCCAAGGATGAATCACAGCAGCTGAAAGAAAACAGCTAAGTTCTCCAGGGAACGGGAACCCCCCAGTGCCCAAAGGCATCCTCTGAACTGAAGGTAGGAATAAACAAGATGGGTGATCTCAAGCTCCTCCGTGGAAAGAGTGCCTAGGGGATCTGTACAACTGTGTCTTTCTTGCCTCTTCCATCTCTTTGGCTGTATCAAGGACAGCATCAGCCACTTGAGCAACACTAATCTTCATGGAGCTGCCACTCAACTGGAGAGTCTTGAGGCAGCCCTAACAGTCCTCTCTCAGGCCTCAATTTCCCTGTAATTACACTGAAAGGGACTGAAGATGGCCAGTGGTCTCTCTCCGTCAGAGACTGTGCAATCTCACCGAGGCTTTGTAAAAGCAAGGATCAGTGGGTAATCAAGAGAAGAAAAGCACCTCACATCTACCTATAAAATACCATCCGGCAAATAATCCTCAAATAGCCCTTGCTTTGGGCTGCTGCACAAAAATGATTATGGCAGTGTTTTGGAAGCACCACAATGCTTATGGCTTTCAGAAGTTCTACTGCAAGCACCTTTTCAAGGAGATTTATTTATATTGTAGCTATACAAACCTTTCGGCATGAAACCTCACAGAAAAGAATTGAGCCTCCAAGGAAAGTTTTTTTTTTTTTTCTTTTCCCCTGAACTAATTGGGGGAGGGAGAAGGTAGCACATTAATTTAGTAATCTCTCTATTATGGAAGCAGAACAGAAATAAAAGGGAAGTATCTTTACCCCAGGCATTGCTTTCTATTGCACTAACAAAAATGATTTTGGAATACATGCTCAAAGGGCATTATTTCTGGCTCTTTCTTATTCTAGCCCACCTAGCTGTCCTCAGGTTTTAAATGGCAGTCTTCTGGAACACTTATTAAGCTAAAGAAAACTTGTGGGGGGAGGGGATCTTCAACAAAAGAGTCTTACATATAAACACTCAGTGATTGTGCAACCACTGTCTGTAGTACGCTCAGTGCACATGAGGCAAGAGCACCCTACTACCTTCTCACCACAGCAGACACACACTGGACCCTTGTACAAGTGAGACCCTGTGTCAACACCATGCACTTTTCCCACAGTGTCTCACCAAATCTCATTCACCCAAAGTGGTGGATGCTATAACAGAGGAGGAACTAAGGTTTTAGGAGGTGAAACTATTTGCCTAAGATTAGACAACTGGGCAGTATTTTGGTTGTTAAAAGCATGGGCTTTGGAATAAAAATCTCTTGGGCTTAAATGCCAACTCCATAAACTGGCAAGTTGTTTGAAGCAGTTATGTTCTATTAAGTAGATGCAAACATCAAATTAACAAATACTGAAGCAGGGATCCTAGGGGAAGTAAGAGGCTGAGGTTTCTGTGGACCTCTAGTCACAATATTTGTTTCAACTGATCACTGCATAACCTTGCTTTATGTGTGCTTCAGTTTGGAGACATCTTATTTAGTATACGGTGCTGATCATTAACATTGCCCTGTGGCCTGAAGGAAGCCTCCGCAGCAAACTCATTTTCTCTGTAAGCCATCATGTGCTTGCAACCACTAACAGCATTTAGTACTAGATGTGGGGGCCGTTTTAAATAGCAAACTCACTAACACAAAGCACAAAAGTGTAAAAAAAAACCAGGGGGGTGTACTACCATACACTGCAAAAAGTGCACTTGCTTCCTTTAGTGTGGAACGAGATGGCAGAGTGACTCTATTCCCCCTCACCTGGGAACAAGTACATGGGAGGACTCCTGTTTTTGCCTGTCCTGCACATATCCACAAATGTCTCGAAAGTGCTCTGAGTATATTATTTGTGGGATTACAAATAACTTTGAGTGGGTAGGAGATTTTGTAAATGTGGAATCCACGAATAATGAGGAACAGGGGGATTTATCTCAGAGCTCACTTTCTCCTTGATTTAACTGCAAGTGACAGTTTTATCGTGACAGGGCCATTGTGCAGATTAAGTGAAATAATACAGGTATATGGCTTTCAGCACCAGGCCTGGCCCACGGTGAGCACTCGATGTGAAAGGTTGCTATGGTGACTGCCCTTGCCATTTCGCTGAAGCCACGTGGTGGTGCCCTGCAATCCGGAGCTAGCTTGCAGGTATTGTGCAACTCTGAGAAGGCAGCTGCGAGGAGCTGGGAGGTGTTTCCAAGGGCCCCTTTCCTCCAGGGTTTGAAAAGCTTAGGCCCAGCAAACCTGGACCCAGAGCTCCAGAGTTGAGCAACTGACAATCTGCACAGAGATGTAAATGAAGGAGCAGGGTAAATGGCAATTGGGCTGGATGCGTTTCAAAATCAGTGAGCAGGGCCTCTGGCAAGACCTCCAACTTCTTCACAGCCTGCACTGGAGAGGGCTGTGCAGGGCATGTTAACCAGCCCTGGGAGCCCTAGGCAGGGCATCCCCTGAGACCATTCTATAGTGCCGGATGGGGGATGGGGGGATGGACAGAGGAGAACAGCTTCTTCTCCACCCCATCCTCTCCTCCTCCACCGGTTTCACTTTCACAGGGTCCTGCCCTGGGTTTTGGCTCGTAAACTTTACATAGACCTTTGGTTTAGCTCAAATTTCCAACTTTTTTGCTGAGCCAAGTCTCATTTTAAACTCTGGAGCCAGGGTCTCACTGATGGGTGAAAATCTGGGCTAAGTCACGTCTGTTAAATAAAAAAGGCCCAGAGGCCTAACGCAGACTCCTAATTACGAGCTGGAGTTGAAGTTCTTGTGGAGAAATGAAACAGCTTGGAAAACACCCACAAGCTAAAGATTTCCCTCCCGCCACATGTCCGAGGAGTCGGGTCTTCAAGAGCTGGTTTTATCTCCTGACTGCTGCAGGTCCCTCAGCCCACGGATGGGGGATCCTACATCAAGGAAGAACAGGTGCAAGCCTGCTATTGTTCACTGGGGCCCTGCAACCAAGGCTGTGTCAGCCTTCAGTGTGGGCTCCCTGCTTAACATGCGCAGGCGAAATGAGCTCTCAGCGACTCACAAGAGGCTCCCCCTCCCTCGGGCTCCCAGATGACTATATTCCGTCTAGACTGGAGTGCTAATGAAGTGGAACATCTGCACGTGTGCGAAATGATGCTCACAACCCCCACCCCCCAATTACCAGATGAGGCACACTTGCAAATTGATATTGTCATTCCTGGTAATCTGGTTCCCAGGTTCCTATTCTCTGAATATTTTACGCTGTTCTCCAAACTCCACTTTTCACCTTTTCACATGGTAGAGGTGGTCCTTGAGCTATCAAGTCTCTGGGAAAGTCCATTAAAATACCCCTGGGACTCTCTTCTTTGGAGACTGCGGCTTATCTTCTGGTTTCCTTACGGTTTAGACTTCTAATGAAGTAAGGAGCGATGCTCGTTTTTAACATCCTCTCAGAAAGCACATTTCTTTGCATGATATATTGGAGAATATGGTTAAGTCTACATTATTATAAAGGCCCTAGAATTCGAACGGCACAGGACAATCAGATGTAAAACAACCCTTTCCTTTGTAAAGTTCAGATTGGTGGCAGAGTCACGTGTCCTGCACCAGCCGGCCAGGCTTCTCTGCTGTGGTCCCATTGATTTCTATACCAAGGGAAAGAGGGGTTAAGTCTCTTTCACCAGACTTTTCCTTCCACAAAATAGAGGGACCATAGCCGGGTACAGTGGCACATGCCTGTAATCCCAGTGGCTCAGGAGGATAGAGCAAGAGGATTTGGGGGGGCATAACACCATTGTTAAGCTGAAGAGTCGCCATACTTGATACAGCAGTCATAATAGGAAGGGAAACTCAGATTTCTTTTCTCTTAACTTGGACTGTGGGAGTGTCAGGGAAGTATAGCTTACCAAGAAGGTAGCTGCTGGGTGTAGATAATAAAGAGGCAACGGAGTTTGAGAAATAGCAGCCTAGAATCTCAGGATCTGTGTGCGCTCTTCCTTCCAGTGCCCGCCACCTTGGCCATAAACTTGATTATAAAGCCTTGATTTCTGCACAATAAACTGGATCTTTCCAGTAGCTTTCCCTCTTGTTTTTTTCATGGTAGGCAGCCAGTAAGTACAGACAGCCCCTTGAATATACTAATCAGGATTCTCAATCTCAAATTTCTGAAAAGCAAAATCTCAAAACAAATTCCCTGCAATTTCCTTGGCTAATCATCCTATTTTTAAAAACTTTGCTGATGAGCAAGCTACATCACCAAGGCCTTTTCAAGTTACTTCACTCTTTGCATTTTTCTAACTGGAAAAATAATATGTCTTGGGATAGAGATAATGGCAGAAAAAGAGTTCAGGCCCTCTCCTCACTCCCTACAGAAGCCTGCATTTATAGAAGGATCAGGAACCCACCAGGAAGGACTGGAGCCCCTGGTACAGATCACAGTGTTGCAAATGAGTGTGGGTGATTCTACTAGCTTGCTCAGAGCTGCCTCACTCTGAGAAAGCAATCAGGTGTGGTACCAATACCCACAGTCCAGCATCAAAGACTAAAGATTTATGTTACCTTGGGTGAATCACTTAACTTCTCTGAACTTTAGTTTTCTTAAGTGGACATAAAAAAACCAGGATTCAAATCCATTTCAGCTACTAACTAGTTGTGAGCAAATTACTTAATCATGTTGAGCCTCAGATTGCCAATCTGTAAAATCTACCTATCCTGCAAAATTACTTTTGGAACTATGGGTAATAGTTACTATGTCCAGTCAAGAGTATATGTATAGTGAATGTTCAATAAATGTTATATCACTTGATATCACTTGTGTTATTCAAGATGATGTCTAGATCTAAGGGGCTGAAACTCCATTAGAGTTTCCTCAGACTACCTACCGAGATCTTTGCAAAATACCTGGTGTAGAGTATGAGCTAAGTAAAAGTTTGAATAAATGAATGAACTCTGTTGCATTAAAAGATTAACTGTTTCCTTTCCAATGAGATAGCTTGGAAAACACCCACAAGCTAAAGATTTTCCTCCGGCCACATGTTTGAAGACATTCCTGAAAGCACAGAAGGCATTTTGTACTATAGATCTCATTGCACCATGTCCCGGGCCAGGCAGAGAGTGAAGTCATCGAGCACTAAGTGTTAAAAGGAAGCTCGAGAACCAACACTCCTAAAGCATGGAGAGGTGAGAAGATTCGCTCAAGCCAGGACCAGTAGTCGTCCTGGTACAGAACAGAAGAAGGGGGTGGTACCTACTTTCACAGCATAGGTGCTGCCAGGGTCCTCGGAGCAGGTAGCACAGTAATAAATAGCGTCCCCCGAGTCACAGCAGGGCTTGTTACAAGTCAGCTTGAAGAGGGACCAGTTGTTCTCATTGAAGTGAAGCTCCTTTTTCTGGCCGCCCATGAAGAGGTCCTCACACTTGGCCACGAGACGGGCCAGGGACTGCGTGTAGAGCCCCCCCAGCTTGGCGTAGGTGCCTTCCTTGCTGCTGATGCTGCTCAGGAGACTGTGGAGCTGCAGCTGGGTGCTGCTGGAGGAGGCCTGGCTGCACACGCTGAGCTGGGAGGACGAGGTGGAGGTGGCGGCTTTGCACTGGAGGCTGGGGCTCCCGCAGCTGCCTTTGCCGCCCGCCAGCCCTGGGACGGGGACCCAGTGGCCATTGCCTTTGAAAGCTTTCTCCAGAGGCTCAGAAGAGGAGAAAACGTGGTGATGGCGGTTCCCAGGGCTCAGGGAATAGCTAAAGTGAGTCTCATCATGGACACAGACATTGGTTTCCGAGTGGCTGAGGTTCAGCTTAGGGCTTGTGGTTCGCGTCCTGGGGGAGCCTTGGGTCCAGAAGAAGCCATCAGGAGAGGAGGCTGCCCGGCTCACTAACTTTTTCTGGGGCAGTGGAGGGGGCTGAGCAGGGCCACTGTGGGTCACATCCTCAGTGGAGCCCGAAGGGAATGGGACAGGAGCAAAAAGCTTCTTCCCACTGATGGTGGGCGAGTGGGTCGGCTCATAGGGTGGACCTGAAAGAGAGAAGCAGGAACATCAGGGCAGAGGCCAATGCCACTCGGCACCAGGTCTTGCCAGCTTTTGTTTTCTCCCCACCAAAGCAATTCAGTTCATTTTACTTCTTTCCTATTTCTTGAAATTCAAAATGCAAAGAAGGTACACATTGATCATTATTAAGTCTTTACTCTGTCCCTTGGTACTCAGTCCCTCTTGCCAGACTATTTCCGCAGTTTCTCATGCATCCTTCTAACAGTGCAAAGAGAAGTGCGTCTGTGTGAGTGTGAGCACACACATTTATACAAAATGAGAGCAAAGAGGACCCACTCTTCAGAATACCATACCATAACCATCACACGCAGGTATCACAATTTAATTAGTCCCTGTTGTTTTAATATTTAATTTTTTAGCTTTAGGTGGATGCAGTATGTATGCTTATTTTATTTTTATGTGGTGCTGAGGATTGAACCCAGGGCCTCATGCATGCTAGGCGAGCACTCTACCACTGAGTCACAACCCCGACCCCTAATTCGTGCCCTCTTGATGAGCCCTTTGGTTGTTTCTAATATTTTGCAAACCTGAACATGTATGGTGTGAGTACATTTTTTTTTTTTTAAGTTAGGTGTATGGAAGGTGCAGTTTACCTAAAGCAAAATTTCTCCCTTTTTATTGTGTAGTTCTTTGAGTTTTCACAAACATCTTGCTGGTTTAGGGGACAGAGTTGGTTCATAGACATCTTAGTAGGAAGATTTTATAAGGAGACAAATCAAAGGAAAGCAAGTCTTTCCAAGGTCCCAGGTGGGGTCCCAGGGTGCCAAAGAGGAGTCACACTGAATCTGATTGGGAGGAGGTTTAGTCAGGGCCACAGATCTCTGAAGAGTGTGGGGACATTCAGACAACCTGTCTAGCCATCACACCGATAGCAAAATGGACTGCTGATCCACATTTTTCATATCAATGTATGAAATACTTATTTCACAATGAAACAAGAAGTAAAATTAAAAATATATATAAACCGGGCACAAGTACACACTTGTAATCCCAGTGGTTTGGGAGGCTGAGGTAGGAGGATCATAACATCAAAACCAGCCTCAGCAAATTAGAATCTGTCTCAAAATAAAAAAATAAAAAGGGCTGAGGATGTGGTTCAGTGGTTTAGTGCCCCTGGGTTCAATCCCAAGTACCCAAAATACTCATTTCCTTCAAAGAACTGACTATAAGACGTCTCCGCCATTTTAATAACAGCTTTGAGGGGGAAATAAAGAAATGTTCACATTATTCATATGTTGTAAAATGCATCCTATTATCCTGAATCTTAAACTGTGAATAAAAACATGGGTCTTAGATTCAAAGCAATGAGTACTTAGGAGGTACACCTCATATTTAGTCTACTGTGACAGGTCACCTAAAGGGCAGGACATTTAGTACCTCTCTTTACCTCTGCAGTCCTAGCAGTGAGACCAGGAAAAAAACAAAGAAAACACAGACAACAACAATAAAAAAACAAACAAACAAACAAAAAAACCCATAAATCACAGGACTAACAAGGGGAGAAATTCTGGGAAAGGAAGCCCCTGACTTTTCTAGGGCTTCACTGAACCTTTTTGGTTTTCTCCAACCCAAATAGGGACATTGGGGGCCTTACTGAAGCCCCTCAGATCAAAACTGGGTCTCCTTCCTTGGGACACTCCATGGAGGGAAGGGGCCCCCTGGGAGCATGTCAGATGCGCATGTCCTCTGGGCTCAGGGCAAAGAATGCTGACATTCCTGCCCCAGTCTCTCAGATGCAGCATCAGTGTGTGACAGCCGGGGCCGCCTGCCTAGCATAGCCCTGAATGCAAAGTTCACAGGAGGACAGAGCTGGTGCATGCAGCCTGTGGATTCTGGCTGAGAACCCCAACAGTCAAGCAAGAAAGACTGTCATGCCAGCTGCACAGCACCACTCTCCCTGGCTCCATCTCCTCTCCTCCCTCACACACTCCCCGTCCCAGGAGATAACCACTCTGGCTTGCTAGTGGCTTATCATGACCATAGGGCACTTTCCCATTTCTCCCTGCTTTGCTAAGGGCGGGCAGAGCTCCTGCCAGCAAGGCTGAGTGAGTGATTTATGTCCCTTCCAGGAGGACTCAGGTTAATAATAAATCAGGCAGCACAGGCATACTCTAACCAGCAGCTTGATATGCCCAGGAATTCCTCCTAACAGTCAGAAGAGAGTGTGTTCCAGGAACAGCCAAGGAAGAGTGGAGATGCTACTCTCTGCTGGTCTCAGTGGGCTCTGAGACCCGTAAGTTCACAGGTCTCCAGTCCCAGGCTTCCCAGGAAAGCGCCTCTGCTCCAAGAGCTTGGTCAGCAGCTTGAACAGATGATTCACTTCCTCTCCCTCCTCCCTCTGCAGAAGAGGCTGAGAAAGGAGGCCCATTCACTAGCTTTTCTAGGCTCAAGAGACCAGGAAGAAGACACCCAAGCACAGGAATCATCTCTACCCTATGCATTCTCCCAGCTCTGATAAGCAAGAGGGTGGGAAGAGGCCAAAGGACACCATTTCCCAAGCCTTCAGCCTTCTGGGTGGTAGACACTATTATCCCCATGGAGACGCCTGATTCTCAATTACCATCATGGCAGAAACCAGAAGAGGCTGGGACTGGAGCAGGAGCCCAGCACCCAGTGGGTGCTTTAATCAGAGCCTTCAATAACAGGGCAGTCTGCCGGGGGACAGGACTCCTGGTCTGGAAGAGGCTTTCAAACATACCAGTTTCTCGACTGCTCCTTTCTTTAAGCTTTGTGTTTATTTCCCCATCTTTACTGGTGGGGTCCTGTCTTTAACGTCAGCTCTCCGGATGTCTCCAACACGCCCCTTTCTGCGTCTGCCCTGTTTGAGGGCAAATGTAGGAATGAACCCTAACCTAACTTGGTGGCCTTACCTGGCTTTGTTTCCTCCTTAAAAAAAAGGACCAGGTTGCATCATTGGAAAGGCCCCCCCTTGCAGCACTAATAGTCTATAATTATAGCCACTCTCCATTTGCAGTCTCTCCCAACATGCATTTTGTCTGAAAAGCTGGCCCAAAATAAAAATACCTGTAGGCAGATGGTTATCATGCCTCCACAGTTCCTCCCTCTATCTCTAGTTCCCACAGCTTGCTGCTGGAAAACTTTTTAATCTTTATGAATAGCAGGCATCTTTAAAAAAAATGATCTTTAATGTTTCTTATTTCTTATATCACCCAAGAGAATCAAGAACTTCTGCTACAGACTTTACAGTAGGGCCCAGAGCAGTAGCTATGTGCTCAGGCAGCGGGAGGAGGGCCTGTCTCCCTGACCCTACGCAGTGTTCTCTGGCCTTCCCGTGGGAACCGTGCTGGCCAGTGGCTGCAATCAGATCTAAACCCGGGAGCTTCTGGGGTCAATCTGGCAAGGGGAGTGCTAGGTATGAGGAGGGAGGCATGGCTTCATGAATTAACAGCGTGCATTTACATAGTTAATTCATACCATTGATTTCTCTTTGTTTCTTAGATATATATTATGAGCCTCTTCCGACAATAACTCCATGATGCACGTACTACTAATCAGAGGACGGCCCCATGTAAGAAATACTCCGAGATCACACCCTTGCTCAACAGAGGGGAAAGCTGGAAGTTCTACAAAACTGATGAGCGCCCTGAGGCTCAAGGGACATGTGGACTTCACGCATATAACTGGGAATTATGTCTACGTATTCCAGATTACAGGGAATTTCATATTACATATTCCATCAGGATTTTTGTACTGAAAGGAAGGAGGAAATGAAGGAGGGAAGGGAGCGAGGAAACCCTAGTCTGTTACAAGCACACCTGTCTTCCGGCCTGACGCAGGCTTCTCAACTTCTGGAAGCTCAACTGGTCAGAAGGCTGCAATTCACTGAGAGCCTCCCTCCCCACCAGGGACCTCAGGATCCTGTAACTTCTCAGGTGTTAATATTTTTAGGGCTGCTTTGAAACAGATGCTAACATGTGGCCCGTCTGTCTCCACCAGTGACCAGCAAGTGGCTGTCTTCTCCAGCATCAGAGGCACTGTTCTTGACTCTGACTGGGGAACGATCCCTTCATAAACATGGCCATGGGCGAGTCAGGGGCTGAATTCTTACTATATGCAGCAGCTGCTACACTCTGAATTTAGAAAAGCCCTGACACCGAAATAGTTTGAAATTCATAGGCAAACCACTGGTTCAAAAAAATCTACCAAAAAAAAAAAAACAACAACAAAACACCAACTTTGGCCAGCAGCCAAAAGGGACATGAAACTAATTCAACTATATAACTATATCCTGGTTATATGTTGCTGTCAGATCACTGTCCCCAAATTCTGGCTTACAATTAAGGGTCAGGGTGCGGGGCAAGAAACCTTCCTGGTAACTATGACTATGTCATGGTCACCTCTTTGGGAAGTTTTTAATGATTTTACGTACTAATTGGGTCAGAGGTTCTAAACACCAGTTCCTAAGTTTTCGTTTCAATTCCCATTCTACATCTATAGGAAGGACCTAGAGAGAAAAGCTCCGGCATCTCCTTAGTGCATGTGCTTTGGAGAAGAGACAGCGTTTCTAGTGGGAAACCACCCACCACCTACAGCGCTCAGTGTGGAATCTTAAAAGGGCTGAGGGAAATGTGTACTTGTTTTGTGTTCTTATGTTTAGAAGACAAAGAAGACTGACTAATCAGGATTTCAGTGGTTGGGAAGAACAGTTTAACCCCTACGGAGAAACGCAGAGCACAAGTTCAAACGTGGTACCGTGTGGTTTACCTTAGGGTAGAGTCCTCCTTTTCAGGTTTTGATGGGCATTTACATTGCTTTTACAGCCAAATGAGGACTGGGCTTACAGAGGAAGTGGTCACTGTGTTTTGAGCTTCTGAGCCATATGCATGAGTGCTGGGTTCCCTCTGTGCAGGGTTCTGCTGCCTCGTGGCAGCTGGGTCAGAGCAAAGATGGAGGCAAAAGACACAATCCCCATGGTTTCCCCAAATTCTTTGCTTTTGGTTTGACT